GAACTACACCAACAGCCACTAAATATATACCCTTTTAAAAGACAAAAATAATATGTTTCTGTTGTATCTAATTCTACTGATTAAATAATATCTGTGCAGTTTTGACTCCAACTTTTACTTAAAGGTGATTTTATTAATCAGAATTCAACTCCAGTGTTGGAATGCATTTTCAAATTTAAACTAGATTTACTGGTGCACACCTGTAATCCCAGCACTCAGCAGGCTGAGGCAGGAGGATCACTGCAAGTTTGAGGCCAGCCTGACTATACAGTGAATTCAAGGCCAGCCAGAATGACGTGGCAAAACCCCGTTTCAAAAACCCCAAACCATAAATAAATAAAATTAAGTTTATTCTTTCCCTTTAATGTATGTTGCAGAAGTTTTGAAGAAACTCAAGTGCCAAAGGAGTAAAAAAAATCACCCACTGTGTTGCTGGTGAGACACTATCATGAACTCCTTGGTACAGTTCCTTCTTATCCTTTTGTACCCTAATTTAGCTTCTTTGTACATATTTGTAATCCGGTTGTCTGCATTTGTGTCCTGCTTCTGAAGCACAATTTCCTCTGTTCTTATGAACTACATACTAATTCATCTGGTGGACTACTATTGTTTATGTTAAGCATTTTCTTGTGCCGACTATTGATGACTGTTACAGCATACATGCCGCAGTTTTGGGGAATTGTCTTCCAGGTCAAATCAATAGCTATTGAGGATGAAAAGGCTGACAACTCTATAACCTTCCTGTAGTGTCTGCCACAGGCTGTGGTCGAGCTGCGTGGCTCAGGGAGCATGGCTGTGGTAGTCTCCAAAATTCTAAACCACATCAGTTTTATTTCTGGTACCAGGGTTTGAATTTAGGCCCTTGTGCTTGCAAGGCAGGCAGCAGAACCACTGAGCTAAAGCCCCAGCCCTAAACCACATCAGTTTTAACCGGGGACATCTCTGCCTACGCTTGAGCGGGTGCGTTCCCTGGACTTAGCCCCACATGGAGGACAAAGGCCACCGAAGGGTCCTGTTTACTACAGAAGTTCTCACTGTTGTGGATGCACAGTAACCCCGGGCGAGACGCTGCAGCTCCGCTCTGCTGGTGCTCTGGTAGGTTTAGTGGCACTCAGCTCAGTCCCACAGCACAGGGGACACCACCGAGACCCAGCTCTCCAGGACCTTCAGGAAACCCGGAGGGAGTTTTCCTCTGGAGAGGCCTGAGCCGAGGAAGCAGAGTTCTGCAGGAAACCCTTACTCTGCAACTCCCCTGCAGGCAGGTTTTGATAGAGGCTCACAGAAAAAGAGTGCAGGACAGCATGTGGATGACGGAATGGGAGACTACGGGGTCCTCCAGATAATAAGTGCTCAGAGGATGAAGGCCTGGGAGGAAGTAGCTGGGACAAATGTACGATTTACTCATTTAATCAACTGTCACTTAAGGACCAAGATTATTTGTAAAACATCTGTCTTCCAGAATTAAGAAGAGTGAGTGAAAACACTTATATGGTGAGCTTTAAGGAACCAGCATTTTAGTGGCTTCCTTCCCAAACCAGGATTTACTCACTCATTCATTAACCCAATCGTTGCACAAGAAAGGGCAACCAGGCAGCGGGGGACCTGCAGCTCCCCAGGGAGCACACGGCTGCCAGGGTCAAGCTCACAATCCGGTGGTACATCATCCGCATCCTCCGGCTTCCGCTGTGCAAGAGCCCGGGCAGTCAGAGAAGGAAGCCAGGAGAGGACCAGGGAGACAGCATGCTAACATTTACTCTGGGCTCCGAGGGGGCACCAGGAGATGAGATCTGAAAGCGAGGCTAGAAAGGTTGAGGGAAAACCAATACATTGTCAAGATGATTAAAAGAGTGCAGCTGTTTGGGTGGAAGAATTTTGCAAAACGTTTTAGTTTTGGAATGAAAAATAAGGTGCCAGGTGGAGGCGATGGGGAGGTTTACACATCTTTCCCTGGTCGGCGCCTTAAATGCCTTCACCGTCCTGTTGGGCCTCAAGGTCGGATTCTGGGGGATCCTGTAGGTGTGCGGCTTCCAGCGTCCTGGAGACACGCATGGTGCACGGCAGCTGCGGCGTCAGAGCACCTTTCAATGAAATCCCATCTCGGCTTTTCTTCCTTCTACCTCTGAATCCTCTTGCCGAAGCTTTCAACACGGATCTAATAGCGACGGTAGTAACATTCATAGTGTGCGGAAGCACTGTAACTTCATCTCTGCAACAATAAAACTGGGGTCCGTGTCTACGCACCCAGGAGTCGGCTTCTGGCAGCCTGGCTTCAAAGCCTAGCCCTTTACCACTGATTTTTACCGCTTTTCGCCAGACAGACCAGAGGAATTTCTTCAGCCTACCCTTGCTCATAGCTAACTCAAATTTTCTGTTCGAGGTCACTCTTCGTTTTACGGTACTGGGGATTGGACCCAGGGTCTTCACACAGCTCCAACCCGTTTTTTATTTTTTGAGACAGGGTCTCACGAAGTTGCTAAGTTACCCAAGCTGGGCTTCAACTTGCAATCCTCCTGCCTCAGCCTCCAGGAGCGCTCCTAGCCTGGGCCCCCACCCCGTCTGGAAGCCACACTTAACGGCTTGCACTAGCCAAGAAACTCTAGCTTTGAAAGCTCACGAGAAGGTGATTTAATTCACCCACATGGAACTGGCCCAATGATGACCTTGTGAGCGCCGCGAACTTTCACCTTGGTCGAACCCGAGTCCGCACGGTTGTCCCTTTATTCCAGTGGCCCCGGGCTCACCCACAGCGTCGCCTTCGTCAGCAGCAAGGCGGTCCCCGCACGGCCCTGAGGGCATGCGCGCTCACTGGACACCCAGAGCTCCACACAGGGCGCCGGGCAGCAGCACCAGCCCCAGGCTGAGAGCGAGTACCGCAAAGCGACAACGC